GCTCCCTTTCACAAAGATGGTCGTTTGGGTCGTATGTGTAAACTTATTCAAACATCAAACTTCATCTTCGGGAAAATTGGCTGTCCACAACGAAATTCAACAATGAATCTACCTCCGATCAATGAGAAAACTTTCCTTAATAAGTTACCTCTTTAATAAGTGCTTTATTACTGCACTCCGTTGACGGATCTCTGTGTACTTTGCATTTTTGCACGGTGAGGCCAAGTAAAAATTCGACACTTGTGGCCGTTTCTCTTACGATCCTAAACAATACTAATATTTTTCTACCGTAAGCGTAAGATCATGCTTTTCTCTAAACTGAGGCCATTTTCACTGTTTTTGTTCATTTTTAGTCTCTGTTCTTCGATTATGAATGCATGCTAGAACGCCCATATAAATACTGATATTTTGCTGAAGCTTTTAATGTTTTGCTCGTTCTATTTCTGAATAAGGTGTGCGCAGAAACGAAACTACACGACAAGTAGTGTTTCATACGTTCAAAACTAGAAATGACCATTCGATGGTGGGCATTTATGTGACATCAGGTCGAATTTTCCAAATGGCAAAACAATTTCAGCCCATTTAAACGAAGGAATATCTATCTGCGTTATTACTGCACTTAAGGGCACCAAATCGCACAGATCTACTATTTTAACATTAAAGAATTGATAAAACTCCTGGTTTTCTTAAAATAGCCTTTGTGTTAGCAGGTTAGTTACCACGGTTAACATCGGACATAAAATAAATTTTCAGGTTCGGCTAAATCTGTTTATTAAAACTCTCGCGGGCAAATTAATATCCTTTCAATGAAAAAGTCTCTCAGATGCGTAACCGGAGTCTAGGACATGTATTGGCATAGGAAATTGCACAAAAATACTCCAACGTCCATTTTCGCTAAATTTTACTGATATTTTACTTTATATAATTATGTAAACACAATTTCTGCACAAGAAAAGGACATTTCATTGAAGGCTGTGGATGGGCGAACAAAATGCGCAACATTAAAGACGTCAGGAAATTATCGTATCAGTTTCCGTTATCAGATTTCATGAGATAGGTTACGTACTGTACGTGTGAGTGGCATACTATAGACGTGGGCTCATGTCGCGCCAGTCACTGCGCGCATGACCGCCGCTCGGGCAGTCAACTGGTGTACGGGAGAGGGACGCGCGAGGATGAGGTCGAATGTGGGGACTCCGTCTTCAAGGCAAATCAGCGTATTCCTCATCACAATAAATTTGGTGCACCTAAATCCATCAGGACTTGCTAACAGTCGCGGCTGCAAAGGTTACCAAATGAGGAGTCAAGTCTGCCCTTCTCACATGTGGTAGCCAGGCCACAATGGCCGTTTCATACTGTGAATGATGCGGGGCCCTAGTCCCCTTCCAATAAAGCGGTCTGCCTGGAGTGAAGATGCGGTCCTGTGTGTGGTACGCGTAAACGGGTTGTCTGGCCTTCACAGACAGCACATTCGTGCCTACCTGCTGCCGTCTTGACACTGTCTGCTGCCGCAGCGACGTGGATGCGGCATGGGAGAGTGCGATAGAGACTGTGCAAGTCCGGCCTACTACGAACTAATTCGTGCACGTGTCACCGATGCTGCGCCCGCCCCGTGGGTACGTAGTGGACTTCGTCGTTCCTTAGAGTCAAACAGTCGTTTACTGACAAAGACTGGCTGCCTTGGTCAACAGGTCGGGTTCAAAATTATTCGGTAAATAAAAAAGCATCTTAAGACCAAAAACTGCCGTTTTTCGAATATAATGTTTTGAGAAGACGGAATTTGCTGCCAAATGAGCGCAAGAAAGAATGTCTTTGTGCACGCTTTCTGTGAAATAGGGTCAACAAAAATAAATGGTGAAAGTGCATGCTACTTAAATACTCGTGTTTCGCAGGGTGTAGTTTTTACAGACGGCTGACAACAAGGTCGTTCTAAAGTCGGTATCCTGACGTGGGTGAAATATCTTGGGGTTATGCTCCACGGTAATTGATATTACCACCCCATTTATTTAAGTAGTTTCTTCGAATTGAAAACACCTTCCAACATTTCTGTTAACACCTCGCAAGACAGATCATCTACTGTTGCTCATGAAGTGCCGTGAAATTCGTAAGAACATCTTTATACCTCATGCATATATTGCTGACTGACTGTTGGCAGTTTTTGAATAAAACGCGCTTTCTCTGCTCTGGCTGATGAACTTCAGCGAAACACGCGTATCTTGGCTTTTAAGGAGTACCTTTGTTGTCATGTACGGTACAGTGGGTGTGTTAACTGATGATATGTTGACCAAAATTTTGAAATGCGTTTTTATACTTGAAGAAAGGGTATTAGTCGATTTTGAAAAAGTTTCTAATTATGAGATTTTAAGAGGACGTCATTTCCAATCGAACCAGTAGATAAATGAATATTTTCATGCACTTTTTCTACTAGATATATTTGAATTTATGAGGGCATCGAAAATCAATGGAAAAATCGTGCTTCTTAAATATTCACTTTTTACAGAGTGTGGTTTTCGCAGACGGCCGCAAAAAGTTCGTTCCTGAAGTAATTAAATCATCATGGGATTATGCTGAACGGTGATTAATATTATAACCCTATTTAATTGATGTTTTCGAGTCGAAAACGCATTTCAGAATTTCAGTGAACATTTCATATCGCACTACCCATGCCTCCCTGTAAAGCAAAATACGCGTACCTGGAGTCTCACAAAACTTTTTTAACTCATAAGAAGACACAGTTTGCCCGCAAATTATCATTTATTCGCCTAGAAATGTTTAGTTTTTACCAAAAACCAGAATTTCAGAGCACACACTTGAAGTCAGCCACGGCGAACTGGGCGTGCGTATGTGCGCGCGGATACAGGTGGCTTCCGGTCATTTCCCCAGCACCGCGGTGGCGGTGGTAGCGTCGAATAAACACCCCCGCAGGACCTACAGGGAGCGGGTGTGGGAGGGGAGGGGGGGGGGCGTGGGTGCACGCAGACTCGCGCACACCAGAAAGAGGGTGGAGAGTACAGAGGAGGCCAGTTAGCAAACTGAAGGGGGAGGGGGACGAGCTAGGAGTTGCCGGAAGTCCCAGTCCAGTTTTTTTTATTCCACAAGCACACAATAGTAGCGGGTGCAGTACAGGTCCACGGCGGGGGCACTCAAGGGGGAGGCCGAGGGAGCATGCATGGACATGCATGGGCCGAAAATGGGTGAAAATACAGATTATTCGATGGCAGGGGGGGGGGGCGACCGCGAGTCGGCTAAAGGCAACATTTTTATTGTGCAATTATTTACCCTATTGACAACACAGGTAGAAGCTAAAAGCCCCGACACGCGTGTGGCGCTGCCTGACGCAGCTGCCAGAGGTTCGGCTCCTCAGTGGGTCCCCCAACCTTCGCCGTGTGTTTTCTGACTATTCCGCAGTAGCTGATAGATTTCAGCTCAAATATTCTCATCGGACTGTGCCTGTTCTGATGGATTTACTCCAAGTTCGCACACTAATTTCCTCGGAAACTGGAGTTCATATACCAGAAAACACAGGGGGAAGGCTTGGGGAGATTAGTTCAGCGGTGTCGTCACCCGATTGCTGCTTAATCAGACTACCCTGGTCCCCAGGTCGTTGTCCTCAATGGCCGCGAACTCGCCAAAAGTTGAGTCTAGGCCACACTGCCGACTGGCAAGACCGGCATGGCTGTTTCTGACCTATTGGCCATCGTCAACCAGCCATACCCAACCCCAGGCTTTTACAACCTCTGGGGCTCAATCCCGCGACCTGTTGACCAGAAGTCCAGAGTCCTGAGCATTTGATCACGGGCTTCGCCTGACTTGTTCTTTTGTCTCGCCTTTTTTGCACGATAACCATTCGTCAGGCTTTCCAAAGTTCCTTTAAGCGTGTTTTAGAAATCAGTAGCGTTAGTAGATGTATTTGGCAGTCAGCATCAACGGTGCGAAGTCACCTTCCCAGATAATTTTGGCATATTTTTCATTTCTTTTGAAATGGCTTTTGCCTATGCCACCTGGAATAGTGCTCTACACAACCTATACTACGAGAGATCCTCATCCGCGCCATAACCCTCGTTGAATCACTTGTACTTATTGCACATTATTGTACCGATCGTGTTGCGGGACAGACTCACCTCGTTGTGTGCCCTGGGGCTCTTCCTCGATCCTCGCCAGCAGCCGCACAGCTGCACGCAATATAGGCAGGAAAACATTACCAACAAAGACATCAGTCAGTAACCCAGGCCTGAAACCCCTAAGGTCCGACCAGTTGGTTAGGGGCCCAACGCCCTGATCACTGAGCCATGCGCTCGTTTGTCTTTTGGTTGCTATGGGGCATGTGCCGCCGTGCGACTGCTGGCGGGGCTCGATATTGAAACGAGTGTGTCCCGTATCGCCCTCCTCTACCATGACATAACTTTGTTCATAAAAAGCAACTACAGGTGGCACGCTCAATCCGTGAGTGAAATCTGCGCTACCTGCAGCGTGACCTGACCGTGGCTTCTGTTTCCGTAAAATTATGCATTTTGCTGGAACACACGCATACCTAGGAATGTGTCCGGATCCTGGCACCAGAAACGGCGGCAAAACTCCCTGTCCCCTGGTTACTGATCACTCCGCAACTGTCTGTGCGGATTCTGATCCCGGCGATTTAAGTCAACATCTGCACCTCAATTATTGGCATTAGCTAAGACACCGGCGTTGTTCGAGAGATCCCTAATGTCTGTTAGTGGAGCCTCAGAAAATTCTCGAAGAACCAAAATGGAGACAGAATTGACTGATCCGATCCCACTTTCATGTTTAATTAGATTGACCCCAGAACAGCATGCCCAGCAAAGACAAGGGAGATTGGAGTGACAATTTCTGGCTTCATAGCCGTCGTCAGCCAGACATAACCAACTTCGAGGTGTGGAACGCCTGGGTTTCGATCCCGCGACCTGTTGACTGGAAGCCCAACTCCTCTAAACAATGAGCCACGGGCTCTTTGATCTGTCGGTTGCGATCGGGTATATACAATGGTAGAGGGACGCTCACCGATCGTTCTTACGGAACTCACTCGTTCCGTTGTGCCTTACGGGCTCTCGCTCTCGGCGTTCGTCGTCTATCCGCACGAGGTGGCTGCTCCAGCGCAGTTTCAGCTAGCTCAGCATGACGTAGCTACTGAGGATTCCCGTCGGCTCCAGTACATGCGTGTCGGGGATTCAATCCTGCCACCCCAACCTCAGGATACGAAGAAGACAATTGAGGTGGAAGTGGTTCAGTCGGCGTGCCTGTTTTGTGTACACTGTCCAAGTCTCCGCTCCGTACAGCAGCATCGGCAGGATGACGGCCTTGTACATCTTCATTTTCGTGCTGAGCTGTATACCATGAGGATTCCAAAGTGTGCTCTGAAGGCGGCCGAAGGCTCGACGGGCCTTCGGAATCCGGCGGGCTAATTCATCGTTGATTTTCGTGCTTCGGGTTATTGCCCAGTTACGGGGAGTTGTTCACCACTTGCAGTTGGGTTCCGTTCACGCTGCTCTGCAGCGCATTGTGGGGAGGGGCTGTGTTGGGTGGCGGTTGATGCACGACCACCGTCTTCTGCGTGTTGATAACGAGTCCGAAGTTCTCGCAGGCGGCGGGACGGTCCATGCTGCTTTGCATGCCCTCTTCCGAGGTGGTGTTCAGGGCGCAGTCGTCGGCGAAGACAAGTTCGTGAACGGTGGTTGTGGATACGCGTGACTGGAAGTGCGTCCGTCGTTGATTCAGCAGGTGACCGTCCGTCCTGTAGGCGATGCGGATCCCGGGGCGTTCGTCGCGGTAAGCGTCCATCAGCATGGCAGAGAACATAAGACTGAAGAGGGTAGGCGCCAGCACGCATTCCTGCTTCACTCCGTTGGTCACTGCGAATGCCTCTGAGACAGCTCCGTTGTCCGTGACTCGCGCCGTCATGCCGTCGTGGAGCTGACGCACCATCTGAATGAATCGTTCGAGACAGCCGAATTTTTGTATGATTTTCCGCAGTCCTTCGCGATCCACCGTTGTGACTCGAGTAGATCGAGCAAATTGACCGCTTGGTCGCTGCGCCTACATCCCATTTCCTATGGTCTACTTTTGCGGGCTTTATTTAATCCGGTTCCAGATTTCTTTTCTGGGCATCCTATCAAGTCTTCTCCACAGTGCCATTAGACTTGGTTGAGCGAGTTGTAATCACAAGTGCCTGCAGTTGACTGCCACGATTCAAACTCACCTAATGCAGCCGGCTCAGATTCTGAGATGTTATCATCACGTTCGCCCCAATTTTGATTGTCTTGGGTGCTAGTTGCCACTTGATAAAAGCTGTCGCGACGTTGGCAAAGTCTGTCATCCTACTGAAAGTGATTTTGCAGCATATTAAAAAGGAACCTTCTTCTGCACAAGCACCCGCACATTAACTTTTGAGGGTAGATAGTAGGTTGGCGTTCGGAAGGTGTGTTAGTGCCCCCCCCACCACATCCCCCAGTTCATTCCCAAAGGAGCAACATTTGAAACGAATGAGCGAGCCGGGCGCATTTCCCCTCTTTGACTGAATTAACCTCACTGACTCAAACTCTACCCGTTCTCCGGTAATGCTTTAAAATTCACCCTCCTAATCTAAAGGAAATTAATCTAGAATACGACCACCACCAGTGTAACCACTGTTACTTCTATTGTTGCGCCCGATCACGCTTGAACAGCTACCAATGCGGGCAATTCCACAACTACAGTAGGTGGACTAACTCACGAAATGTCAACCGAAATTCCGAAATTCGTTTCCGTTTCGAACAGTAGGGTTGTATAACTAATCATCGGACAGCAAAATTCTATAATAATTCAGTTACCGCAGGACGCCGGCTTTCGAACAAACTTCTTTCCGGCTGCATGCGAAAACCATACTCCTTAAAAATCACTACTTACGTAGCATGCATTTTCATTGATTTTCGATGCCCTTAAAGATTCAATCATACTTCATGGAAAACATACATAAACATATTCATGCCTTTGCTCATTCAGTAGAAAATTACGTCTTCTTTCAATGTTACACTTGAAGGGAGGGGGTAATTTGGTTTTTAAGAGTTTCTAATCGTGAGATTTTTTTATACCGTGAAATGGCCTTTCATAAAACGTCATATCTCCGCATTTACTCATGTGGCTTGTAAAGTTAACAATGTGGCTCAAATCCACTGCTAAATTTTATGAACCGTATATGGTCCTCCTTTATTACCGTAGAGAAATGTGTGGTTTACCGTACGTGGAAAATATACGGTTTGGAGTTTGGAAACCCTGAATGCAAGTGTAACCGCAGGTCGGGTTCAAAATTATTCGGGAATTAGAAAAGTTTTATAAAATCAAATTATACCCTTCCTTCGAGAATGAAATTGAAAGTAGAAGCAATTTTCCACTGAATGAGCAGAAGAATGGATATTTTTTTGCATGTTTTCCATGAAATATGATTGAACCTTTAAGGACATCAAAAATCAATGAAAAACTGCACGCTAATTAAGTAGTAATTTTTACTTACATACAGCCGGAAAAAAAAGTTCATGCGAAAGCCGGCGTCTTGCAGTAACTGAATTATTATATAATTATGCTGCATGATGATTAGTTTTACAACCCTGCTTACTTAATCTTTTCGAAACGAAAACGCATTTCGGAATTTCTGTTGAGATTTCATGAGTTAGCCCACATTTGAAACGAATGAGCGAACCGGGCGCATTTCCTCTCTTTGACTGAATTAACCTCACTGACTCAAACACTATCCGTTCTCCGGGAATGCTTCAAAACCCACCTTCCTAATCTAAAGGAAATTAATATAGAATACGACCACAACCAGCGTAACCACTGTTACTTCTAATGTTGAGCCCAATCACGCTTGCACAGCTACCAGTATCGCCACTTCTACAATTACAGTAGGCGGGCTAACTCACGAAATGTCAACCGAAATTCCGAAATACGTTTCCGTTTCGAAAAGATTAATTAAGTAGGGTTGTTAAACTAATCATCGTGCAGCATAATTATATAATAAATCAGTTACCGCAGGATGCCGGCTTTCCGGCTGCATCTAAAGATCATACTCGGTAAAAAGTACTACTTAAGTAACATGCATTTTTCATTGATTTCCGATGCCCTTAAAGATTCAATCATATTTCATGGAAAACATGCGTAAAAAATATTCATTCTTAAGCTCATTCGGTAGAAAATTACGTCTTCTTTCAATTTTAAACTTGAAGGAAGGGCATAATTTGATTTTAAAAAACTTCCTAATTGTGAGATTTTTTAATACCCTGAAATGGCCCTTCATAAAACGTCATGTCTCCGTATTTACCACTGTGGCTTGTAAAGTTAATAATGTGGCTCAAATCCACTGCCTAATTTTATGAACCCCACATAGTCTCCAGTTAATGCCGTAGAGAAGTGTATGATTTTCGGTAAATGGAAAATATACGGCTTGTAGTTTTGGAACCCTGAATGCAAGTGTAACGGCAGGTCGGGTTCAAAATTAGTCAGGAATTGGAAAAGTTTTATAAAACCAAATTATACCCTTCCTTTGAGTGTAAAATTGAAAGAAGACGTAATTTGCTACTGAATGACCAAAAGGATGAATATTGTTACACATGTTTTCCATAAAATATGACTGACTCTTTAAGGCCATCAAAAAGCAATGAAAAATGCACACCAATTAAGTAGTAATTTTGTACGGAGTATGGTTTTTAGATGTAGCTGGAAAGAAGTTCGTTTGAAAGCCGGCGTCCTGCGGTAACTGAACTACTATAGAATTATGCTGCACGATGATTAGTTTTACAACCATACTTAATTAATCTTTTCGGGACGAAAACGCATTTCGGAATTTTTGTTGAGATTTCATGAGTTAGTCCGCTTACTTTAGTATTAATAATATGTACGCATGCTAATCCTATGATCACGTCGTTGGAAACATTACGAATAGACGTTTTACTACAATGGCGACCATCGCAGAGTGCATAACGCCTACCAGTACCGTCTATCTATGGCTGACAGCCTCATTTGTTCAAAAAATTGGGGAAGGCCAATTTCAAATGTATTCGGTGAAATATTCAGAACGTTTGTATGCAGCTTTTCAGAATTTAAAAAAGAATGCGATTATAAAATGTTACTTGTATAGGATCAATAAAAATCCGATTTAATCGAAGTTGATCCAGCCATCCTGAAAGATTAAAAGACACAAAGTCAGAAGAATACGACTGAAATAAAAAGAAAAAGATTGTAAAATTATGCTAGTCAAACAGCATGTAACAGTGCACTTGATTATCCGTGAAAATGATTTGAATGCTCCTATCGTCGTTATTCCAAAAAATACTCAAGCCTACCTGGAATGTAAGTATCACAGATGAGAGGCCGGGACCGCAGGAAGATTGCCTGACCAATCACCTCCGAGAGAGCTATAGTGAGAAACGAAAGACAGAACAGTTTATCGATTTTATGTCGCCAACGGCTAAAAGGGAGTCCTTTTCAAGGTCAGGGCAGTCGTGATTTGTGCTCACTCGTGGCAAGCAGCACTCGGAGAAGGCTACGATGTGGAAATGGCATGAGGAGAAGGCTGGTGATTTATTTTCATCTAATCTACAACCGGGGCGTGCAGAGTGTTCGAAGCGCTTGCAACGTCATACAGTCGAACGATACAGGTAGACGTTAGCTTGTATTTTTAGTGTGGGGTGAGCCCCCGTTTAGCAAACGCCACACTCACGGGAGACGGCAGTCATGGGTGCACACAGGATCGGCAAAGGCCGCTTAAAGCCTGCCGCGAACCAGCAGTTCAGCTTGACACCGTACTCACACGACAACAAGACAGTTCGACCGTCATTGCCGATGATGTCTACCATGTGCTCTACTGAAACGTGAAGTAGACACGGTGACTTGCGCGTAAATTAGTTTGTAGTGAACGTAGACTTGCGCAGCATCTACCGCACTCTCTCCTCCCCCCTGGACTCGGTGTCAAGACAGAGTCGAAAAGACCGGAGGCAGGGGAGGACGCGGGTGGCACACACACACACTCACATGCCCTGCAATGGAGCTCTAAAATGAGCCTCAAGGCACCACGAAACGAGTATGTCTTGTAGCCAGACTATTGAACGCAATCCCAACAAAGTTAATATTCATCTGACTCAACCAGGTGGGATTCTGTTCCAAGATAGCAGTTGAGCAGTTTGAATATAGTCAACGCTCTATCCGCCTGAGCTACGAGTCGGGTAACTTTACTCAAATGTGACTCAAGTCACGGCTTCCGGTGGGACCTTATAGTTCGGATGGTTAGAGCGTTGGCTGTGTTTAGAGCCTTCCACCTGCTGTTTTGGATAGGAATCCCACCGGGGTCGCCGAGTATTTAATAAAAGGGTCAAACTATTGATTCAAATCTGCCGCATTTAACTATAAATTAAGCAAGCTTGGTAGCAAGGCAACT